TTTGTTGCTAATGGTAAGTGATTGATTCTGATGACTGAAATGCTTTTCTTGAAAGATTTTGTTTAGCTGAGTTTATTAGATCGCCATATCGAGTACATTCGATCGCTATGTTGGATAGCAATGTGTTGCTACATGAGTAGTTACAAGAATACTATTTTGGACTGACCATTTGACAATGTGCTCAGGGTTTGCTCGATGATACGGGCGTTTTTTCAATCATTGAATTAAGCAAGTTCTTCAGTATCAAGGAAGTATTTATCTTGTCAAGGTATAACGCCTAGTTCTTGAGATGCAGCTGAATGCTAATGGCATTATCGTCGAATAACTGAACGAATTGATTACAGCTCCAAACTCAGCCTATTTGACCGCTCTCTTGATCACCAGTGCCCTTTAAAATGTAACAGGTATGAAGATCACCATCATCAGTTCAATCCAGATTCAAATCTTTCTGAAAACCAAATGATTTTTGTGTTATTTCACTCGAGCAGTTAATGATCAGAAAGAAAATTATATGATCCAGCACAATCGAGCACAAGAGTGTCACGATCGGGCCCTTGATCAAAAGAGCACTGAAAGGTTTCTCTAATACTCTAAAAGCGCTTAATCGCCTACAGCTTGCTATTTCAGCTCATTTCTTTATTTTATCGTGTGTAAGCCAGGTACTAAGAGACGAACTGTTGAGAATATGTGCGCATTTATTGCTCCATGAATAAGATACATCAACATCAAATTGAAAAACAAAATTCAAAATCAACTGTGAGCACAAGTATGAATGAGTGAGATACAACCACAACAGACATTCACATTGATCATTATCATGACTGTTGTCGACAACAATCGTATGATCGAATAAATAATCCTGATAATAATATTTTCAGTTGGAAAACATCTGAAATCACAAACCTTCTAAAGCCAACACCAGCAGCAACAATAACAACAAGAACGTGATATACATGGTAAACAATTTAACATATATGTAGGTATGTATACGAATTATTCATAGCAAACATAAGGTAACATCGCAAAAGTTTTACGCTTGTATAAGGCAAAAACACCGTCACTTCATGCATTCATATCCAATATCTTCAGTTGAAAATTCGGCTAACACGATCCTATAGTACAGACAGTGAGCACAACATCATAGGATTATGCCATTACTAGTACTGTTGAGATCAAACATGCGATCGTTGTCTTTCGACTTTGTTTCGGTGTGATTTTGAGTTGAAGCGCTGATATCGGTATTGTTTGTTATCGCTTTAACGGTGAACGGGTCATCGTCAGGCGTTGGCCTTGTTGAGTCGTTGATTTTCACAACGTATGCGTTCATCCATTGAAAACACAAGAAAACAACGTATAAAAACCAAAAATTTATCACGATAGTCACCAATAGACCAGATATCATCGTTATTGTGGCCAGTGTAGCAACTGAAATTAATTGATTGATTGAATTGTTTTGCTGGACAATCAAATAACTGGATTCACCGAATAACCCTACACAATTCTCGAATCGAATGAATCTTGCTGA